CCCAGACAAAATCTATGATTCTTGATTGGAATGTTTAGACCACTTGCATTTAATGTATTTATAAAAGCAATTGTTTTGCTTTTTTTTTTTTTGTCCAATATGTTTTTTGTCCTTTATCTTTTCCTGCCTTCTTTTAGAATAATTGAGTTATCCCTTATTAATCAATTTTATGCACTATTGGCTTATTAGTTACATCTCTTTTAGTTTTAAGTGGTTGCCCTAAGGTGGGTTTTAAGAGTACCCGCCACTCCTTCCAGTGCACATTGTACCTGATAGGTGACTTTTCATTTTTCCAACTCTTCTCCCCCTCCTTTTTCTGAGTCTCCAGTGTCCGTTATACCATTCGCTATGACTTTGCAGAGTCTTAGTTTAGTTCCCACTTAGAAGTGAGAACATGTGGTGTTTGGTTTTCTGTGTCTCTGTTAGTTCACATAGGATGATATTCTCCAATTCTGTCCAAGTTGCTGCAATTTATATGTTGTTTTAGAATGTAAAAACTATTCCTGCCTTTCCTTTGTCTTAGTGTTATTGTGTTTTCCTTTTACTTATGCTATAATCCAATAATATATTGTTATTTTAAAAAATCAGTTATTTAAAAAAAGAAACAATTTTTTAAAAATGTCTTATTTTTATACACTTAGGCATTCTGTGCCTATGAGCTATTCATTCTTTGTGTTGATCTACCTTTTTCTGCGGATATGTTTTGCTTCTACTTTTAAAAAATGTCCTTTAATCTCTTTGACAGTACAGATCTGCTGGTGGTAAAGTCTCCTAGATCTTTACCTTATGAGATAGTCTTTATTTCACTATTACTATTCAAAGTTATTTTCACCTTCAACAGAATTGTAAGTTGATTTTTTTTCCAATAATTTACATATGTCACTCCAATGTGTTCTGGCTTGCATAATTGTGGAAGTAAAGTTGTTGGCTATTGTTCTTATATTATGTTTCACTGTGCATAATATGTCTTTTTCCCTATTGGCTGGTTTTATTCAACCAAATCATCTTTGACAAAGCTGACAAAAACAAACATTGGGGAAGGGAAAACATATTTAGCAAATGGTACTGGGAAAACTGGCTGGCCACATGCAGAAGAATGAAACTGGACCCCTGCTTATCAGCATATAAAAAAATTAACTCAAAGTAGATCAAGGACGTGAAAGTGAAATCTCAAACTATAAAAATCTTAGAAGACAATTTAGGAAACACCCTCTTGGATATTGGCCTAGGCAACGAGTTCATGGCCAAGTACTAAAAATCTAATACAGCAAAATCTAAAATTGACAGGTGGGACCTTAGCACACTAAAAGTTTATTGATGCCAAAAAGCGTCAATAAAGAGACAATACACAGAATGGAAAAAAATATCTGCAGTCTATATATTCAACAGAGGCCTAACATCCACAATGTATAAGAAACTCAAATAAATTGACAGAAAAAAAATAATCTCATTAGAAGGTAGGCAAAGCACATGAACTTTCCTTCAAAGGAAGATACTGAAGCAGCCAACAAACATAAAAAAATGCTCAGCTTCACTAATCATGGCTATCACTACAAATTTAAAACCAACAGGTGCTGGCAAAGCTATGGAAAAAAGGGGAATATTTCTACACTGTTAGTGGGAATGCAAGCTAGTTCAGCCTTTGTGGAAAACAGTGTGGAAATTTCTCAAAGAACCAAGAATTGAGTTATCATTCAAGCTACCAATCCCACTCCTGGGATTATATCCAGAGCAACATAAATTGCTCTGCAGAAACAACAACAACAACAACAACAAACCCGCATGGGTTTTTATTGCAGCACTACTCACAATAGCAAAAACATGGAACCATCCTGAATGCCCATCAAAAGTAGACTGGATTAAAGAAAATGTGTGGTACATATATGTCGTAAAATATTACACAACCATAAAGGAGAAAAAAACCATATTCTTTGCTGATACATGGATGCAGCTAGAGACCATCATTCTAAGTGAACTATCACAGAAACACAAAATGGAATACTGCACATTCTCCCTCACAAGTGGGCACTAAACATTGAGTACCTGGCCAAAAGGGAAAGAACAACAGATATTGGACACTGCTAAAAGAGGGAGGGAGGGATGGTGGATAAGGACACCATCGCCCATTGGGTACCATATCCTCTATTAGGAGGGGATAAGGCTTACTAGAAGCCCAAATCTTGCCTTTACCTGATAAGCTTATTTAGCAAACCCTCACATGTATACCACAGCTCTAAAATAAAAAATAAATTTTTTTCTTTATCACTGCTTTTCAGTAATTTGATTTTGATGTATCTTGATATTGTTTTTGTTTGCTTGCTTGTTACTTCTTGGGGTCTTTTGAGTTTATTGGATATGGAAGTTTACAATTTGGAATTATTTCAGCTATTTTTTGTTCAAAATTTTGTGTTCCATTATCACTTTTCTCTCTACTTTTGGTAGCCCAATTAAATACGTATATGTTAGACTGCTTAGTTTTATTTTGGAGGTCACTGATGATGTGTTTATTTTTGTATCTTTGTGACATTTGGATAGCTTCTATTGCTATATCATCGCTGACTAGTTGTTTAGTCAGGGTCTAATCTAATATCACCCTATTTTGTGTATTCTTATTTCAGATATTGTATTTTTCATCACTAGAAGCTACTAGGGCTTTTTTTAAACTTTCATTTTTGTACTCACTCTGTTCATGTTTTTCTTCACCTTTCTGAACATATAGAGCATATCTATAATAGCTGTTTTAATTTCCTTGTTTGCTAATGCTAGCAATTGTCAATTTTTGTCTGTTTCTATGAATTAATTTTTCTCCTATTTATGGATTGCGTGTTCCTGGTTTTTTGTGTGCATAGTAATTTTTGACTGGATGCCAACCATTGTAATTTTTATCTTGTATACAGGAGTTTATTATACACTTTATAGTGTGTTGGAATTTTTCTAACACAAAATCAAGTTACTTGGACTCAGTTTGATCAATTTCAGATTTACTTTTAAGATTTGTGAGAGCAGATACATAGCATCTTGGTCTAGAGTTAATTTAGACTTATCACTAACAATGTTTTTCTAAGGTCCTGTGTATTAACATAATGTCTTTCTATGATCTTGTGTGCTACTTACATATTACAAGGTCTTGTCAATGTAGTTGGAGGGAATACAAACTATTTCCACTTCATTGCACACTCCCCTAAAATTTGACATACTATTTTTTTTTTTTCTGTGCTTTTTACAGCAGCCTTGGGTAGTATCCTCTCACCATGTATTGATCCATACTGAGCCAGACTAAAGTGAACTTGTTTGCAGATCTCTGGAAGTTTCTCTCTGTGGAGTTCCCTTTTTCCAGCATTCTTCCCACAGAATCTTATCAACTTGGCCTCCCCAAACTGATTATTCTCTCTTCAACTCTATTAGATCACCAAGCTCTGTTTGGGTATTTCCTTGCTGTATACGTCTCGGAACCTTCCACTTGGCAATAAGATGGTGCTTTCATAAGGTTTACATGATTTTTTCCCTTTTCCTGAGAAATCACAGTATTGTATTGCTTGTTATTCAATGTCTGAAAACCATTGTTCCAGATATTTTGTCTAGTTTTTTGATATGTAAGAGTAAATCTGGTCTCTGTTATTCCATCACAGCCAGATGAATGATATGCTGTTAACACTGAAAATAAAACTCTCTCCCTATTCATTACAAAGTGAAACTTCCTTCATTGGCATTTTTAAAAATAAAGCTCAGTTTTCAAATAACTAGTCATATTAACTTGTTTATAACTTTCATTTGTGGAAAAGCCTGAGGCATGAGAGAAATAATTAATTTATAATTGTGCAACCTCATGTTCTTCTGTAATTACCAGCTGGAACTTATGCCAGTGGGTCTGTGATTTTTAACAGGTCTGGATTTGTATTCATATGTCTAGAGTAGTTCCCAGTGTTGGTGACTGTGTTTTTAATTTCTTTTGTTTTGTTTTTTTGCTCAAGAATGACGCTCGTATTTCACCATGTTTCCTTAAGAGCTTGCTTTTAATAGAACTTGCTGAGCTACAGTTCCAAATACAGATATGAGGGAAGGAAATAAACTCTTATTGTAGAAGATAACAAAATTTCAAAAATAATTTTTCTCTGCTTCCATTTTTTCCTACATTGTCTAAATGAGTATTACTGAAAATGAATCACAGCTCAGGTTAACATCTTGGTCCTTTGAGAGGTAGTTTTCTGCAGGAATATAAATGTTTGCATATTTTCTTACCTCCTGACCTTTTACTCTTTTCAGTTCTTTAAATTCTTCCTCTCTGCTATGCTTCCACTTCCCACCCCCTCAAACAAGATATGTGGCCCTCTAAACTTCTTTTCTTTTCAAAATTTTGACCTACTGAATTTTCGTGCTCACCTTCGCCTTTCATTACTCCATATTTTGGTTTCATGCTATTTCCTTTGCCCAGAATAATTGCCCTCTCTTTCTTTTCTGGCTAACTTTCATATGCCCTTTAAGGCTCAGGTCAGATATCATCAGATGTGCTACCTTGTGCCAAGTTATTTGCCTAATATATGTTATGAATATATATGTAATGAATGCATGAAAGCATAAATGCAATAACTCTTTCCAATATTGTCTGTTTTTGTGTCTTCATCCCTACATCTCAAGGATGAGAACTATACAGTGTGAGCTTTAGAGTCTAATTTTTTGGGTCTCAGGTTCAAATCCTGTCTCTACCTACTGAATAGCTATGCAAACTTTGCTAAACTCCTTTTTGCCACTTGTAGCTCAATATTTTTTTCTCTACAATTGTGATCATAGAAGGCATAGAGTGGTTTTTGAAGATTTGATGAGATTATGCATAAAGTACCCAAATAGCACCCAAACACTCCAAAATAACAGCCATTATTATCAACAGGAACTAATTCTTTATATCAGGTTTACTGATTCTTTAACTCTACAATTCAATTGCCCCCTAAAGTCTCTCTTCGAATTATAAAATTTTCATGGTATCACAAGAAAGACTGCTCAAGTGTGACAGAATGAGAAAATTATTTTTTTTTATTATAGTCACATAAAATAAAATCAATTACACCAAGTTGTCCAAATGCATTGGTAAATAAAGCCTCCAACTCTTACAAATTTTATACATATATTTATGCATTTATAAATACATACATATGTAAAAGATATATATTTTCTACTAAAATAAAGTGCCCAAATATTGATATATGGGGGCATAATAGGAAAAAAGAATCAAAATGTTTGATCAGTTGTAGACTGTACTTTCACAATACAAGAATCTGTTTTATACACATTTATTCAGGTACAATGAACTTTAATCACCTACTTTTTTCTGAATTCTCCTAAGTGAATTAACATCCAAAATATTAAAATAAGTCATGCAGTCAATTTAATGAGCCAGAAGCTAATTTTCCTGATTGTGCCTTGTACACAGCCCAGGCTTCCCAATAGGGCACTTAAGCTCCATTCTTAAATTTCTTGATTTTTGCACTATTGTCTTTCTGCTTAGGTGATAAGCAGAATGAGAATTGAGTCAGACATCTCTAATTTTAAATCCTCTATTAGCATTCAATAAAATTAGGGTTTGGTGAGAAGATTTCTAATGTTTTTATATCACCCTGGGCTTGATGAGAAAATGTCTAGCAGGATTTGAATTTTTGTTATAATTAAAGGCTTGCTTGACTTTAGCATGTAATGATAAATAGGTCATTGAGAGAACTACTCAAATTAAAATGAACTCTCTGTTACAGTGAAAAACCTTAGTGAGAACATGCCTGATCTTAAGAACAATATAAAAGGCTAAAGAAAAACTAGATGGTTTAAGATAATCCAGAAAAATCTTCACTTCAAATAGGAACTAACGTTCTATTTCCTGTTCTAATAAATCAGCTAGACTTCTTGTGTTTTTGCTTTATTTTCTGCCATCTTAGGCTTCTAAGATGATTATTTGTAGTTTCTGACAAGAAATTGAATCTTAAAATGCCTTTGAAAAGACTTCAACCTATTTAAGCAAGGTGAAGATGCATAAAAATAGCCTACTATGAACCCAGTCATTTCAGAATCTCTGGTGATTGACCACAAGTTCAATTACATTAGAGTGTATCTTATTCAGGCAGAAAAGGGAGAAGTTGTCAGCACTGAAATTGCATAAAACACCCTAAAACTTCCCAACATATAGGGGGCTGGCAACAGTGGGAAGCCCAGACATTTCTCAGAGTCAAAACAAGAAATGGAATATACTGGGTTTTTTGGGAAGGGAGGGGAGAAAAAAGGGCAAGAGGGTGTTTCCAATTACCCAATCCATCTTGGCAGGGTCTCTGCAAGAACAGAGTGGCTTAACTACTGATTTTGGTAAGCATCTTGTTAATGGCTTGCTTGACGTGCGTGGTGGAGCTGCGTCGCCTGGTCTTGCCCTGCACCATCCTCCGGCGGCGCACTTCTCGACACAACTCATAGAATATCTCTGTGATGTTCCCTTCTCCGGTGCAGGCAGAACACTCATAAAAAGCACAAGCCAATTCTGTGGCCAGCTTCTCTCCTTCTTCTGTGCTAACCTGTCTGGAGTGGTCCAAGTCAGCTTTGTTTCCAACCAAGACGAGAGTCACATTCTTGGGCTTTTTTATCTCATCTAGGATGTTCTTAAGTGGCACCACCTCCTCAAAACTTCCTCGGTCTGTAATGTCATAGACCAGGACAAAGCCTTCCCCCCATCGCATGTGCCCTTCCCTCTGAATGGTGTCTTCCTGCTGGCAAAGAAAAATGGCAGTCAGGAGACCAGGAAGTAATCACAATGTAAAGACACTGCTAATGCTAATAGTAGTCTCTTGATTACTATCATTTTATCCCATATCATTAAAATATCTTGGTAGTCTACATGTACAAACTTACTTTCACCATCAGTTTTGCATAGAGGCATTACTTACTCATATCAAGATATTTCAGGGAATTGAAAATGTTCTAACTTCATAGACTTTAACTTGATGCCTTTAATTTGTTCTTGCCACATCATGAAATCTGTACTTACAAGAACTATAAAGAAATGATAACCTTCATTGAATACAGTGCTTTTGAGGTTTTCATCCCATAGAGAATAAACAAACTGGTAACAGACAAGTAGATACTCCACCTTTTAGGTATCGAAATTAAAGTCAAAATCTTGCAAGATGTGTTTTGGTTTGTTTATTATTTCTTTGGTTTGTTTATTTTAATCTCCTCTCTCTTAGATTACAGACAATTAGCCCCCAGGGACAGGAAAAACAGTGACAAAGTTGAATAGACAGTCCAACTTTAAGTTAGGGTTTTGACTTTAAAATCTCAGTAATCCCCAAATGTTATGTAGTACCAATGACAGAAACTCCTTTGAAAAAGCATTGCCTTCACAGGTTCAAATGATGTCTGGAGGCACACACTTCCTGGCAGCCCTTGTCTTTAGAATCAGCACTCCATGAACATCAGAGAATAAGGAGGTGGTGATAAGACAGAAAAGTGTATAATTCATTTAAAGAACATTTCTTGGATTAGACACTTTGATTTGAGTCTTCTTTGTGTCATAGGTCACAAAGTACCATGTGAAATTTCAGCTTTCTGTCATTACTATGGTAACATATATCTGGGAACTAAACCTATCTACTAATCCTTGAGAAATCTAAGAACTGACTGATGTTTAAGCAAATATTACAGGTGAGAGTCCTAAAACATTGTGAAACAAACAAACAAACAAACAGATGTGGCCACATACATTTGGAATACAATATATACTAAATCTCTCTCTTAATGATTCACTTTACACATAAATATCAGAGGCTCTGAGAATTCTTTCAGTTAAGATACTTGTTTAGCTATATTTGATCATTCCAAAACATGTTCAAAACATATTTTGCTATGACACAAAATATAGTTGAGAGATTCTAACCTAGAAGATATGTGAATATTATAGTATTTTCAAAACTCTCCTGAAATACTAGACAGTACATATAGATGCATATAGGACCATTACAAATTTTTTTTTGAGTTGGGGTCGCACTCTGTCACCCAGGCTGGAGTGTAGTGGAGCAATCAGCTCACCATAGCCTTGACCTCATGGGTCAAGAGATCATTCCGTCTCAACTTCTTGAGTAGAGAGGATTAGAGGTGGAGGCTACCATGCCTGGTTAATTTTTTTGTAGAGATAAGGTCTTGCTATGTTGTCCAGGCTGGTCTTGAACTCCTGGACTCAAACAATCCTCTCACTTTGGCCTCCCAAAGTGCTGGGACTACAGGCCTCAGCCACTACACCCAACCCTAATATGTTAATGTATAAAACGACTAGATAATTAGAGAAAAACCTTTAGGCATTCAAAAGTTAGTTGAAAGAAAGTTCCTTAATTTTGTTCATACTATGTTTCATTTTTATTTGATCCAGAAAATAATTTGGTTGAACACCTTATTCACCTGACCAGCAGTATCTAGTATCTCCATGGAAACAACTTCATCATCGATGGTTGCTTGGTGTCGGTAGGTTGATTCTAAAGGAATTAGCAAATAAAGAAAGCAAAAAGGTAAATAAATGCAAGGTTTAATATGATTCTTAAAATTAGAAATTGAGCATAGGAGACGTATTTTTTATTTTATAGTGTAAAAGACTGTGTATTCTAAGGAAGAAAGGATAGATGTGCAAGAATTCAGAATCTTCATACTCATAGAGCTTTTGGAAACAAGTTCTAATATGGGAGCCATAGACTTTCAGAGTATAGAATAGGAAAGATCTCTTTACCTGTTTTCTCCTCTATCCTTTCCTCTTAAGACACTTTTTTTCTATGAGTCCAGCTCCTTGATGCTCTTTTCCTTTTAAAATGAGACCTCCACAGTCTAAAACGAGAGGGTGGTTCCCACAAAATGCAGTCTGCATCAATGCTCCTAGAAACCTAGTTTCTTGAAACCACTGTTTCTAACAAGATAACCTACAACCAGGAGCTACTTGTTTCCTTCTAAATCTCAACTCTGGAAATGTAACAGACATCAGAGGGAGGTGGATGGATCTTACCAAATGATGTAAAACGATAAGAAACCCTAGTAGCAGTAAAAAGGCAGTTGGATCCCAGTGTTTTGTGGTTGGTGAAAAACAGTAACCCAAAGTAAAAAAGGGCTGGGCATCACAGAGGGGAAATGGAACAATGCTGAGTTTTCTCTCTCATGTTGCCTCTCAAAGCAGACAAAATGGCAGCTGCATAGTACTAGCTGGAGGTTGGTGGACCAACACCAGCGTGGTCCCCAAGTCACATATGAGTTGGAAGTTAACAAGTGCAAGAAGACTGGGTGGCCCTGAGTATACCCTTGTTCACATAAAATGGAAAACAGAGGTCAAAAATAAATGTCAAGTGGTGTTGTTTTGTAGGAAAACTAGAACAATGAAATAATGAACCTACTGAGGTTCTGAGGTTCTGAATGACTAAGCTGAAAGAAGGTCAGGTTAAGGAACTCTGCCAGAGGTATCAGTAAGTGACAAGGAGAAAAGTGTAAAAGTAAAATTTAATAAGAGGTATGGATAATAGAACTAGAAATCTTATTATCCTTTATAAAATGAGCTATAAATGAGAGAATAAAATATATAGAGTGGTGGAAATATTTGAGGTTATAATGACTAAATTTCTCAAGATGAGAGACAATGAAAGAGTTAAGATAAAAAAGACTGCCAGGATATATGAGGGAAAAGTCCCATATCTAAACTCATTACAGTAAAATTTAAGGATATCAACGACAAAGAAAAATCTAAAGGGATTTAGAAAATAAAAACACATCACCTACAAAAAGACATGACTCAGATTGACACTGGATGTCTTAATGAATTCAAGCTGCCCATGGTGTAAAACAAAACAACAAAACTACATAAAAAGCAATCCGAATTAACCATTCTAGATGATTCCAGTATGTCAGGGTGAAGGTGGAAGAAAAGACCACAGACAGGTTTAAGTGAACTAACAAACTTGTCTTATTCCAGAAGATGATATAATAAAAAGAAAATCTAGAAAAAGTGAGCTAAGTATTCAACTCAATAAATTAGAAGAGGAGAAATACAATAAATTCAAGAAGATATAAGGAAAGAAACTAAAAACAAACATCATGAAAAAAACCAAACCAAACCATGATGCTTGAAAAGATACAAAAAAAAAAAAAAGAAGATGTAAAGATCTGAAAATACTGCTAACACATGAAGAGAGAAGATGCAATTAAGCAAAGTTTAGCAAAGAAAGAAGAAATTTCTGATTCTGCTGAAATAAAAAATAAATGATATTGCTAACTTTATAGCAACAACTTCAAACCTTTGTAAATTCTGAGAGAAAAATGCATAGATTGGTGCAACAAGAAATAGTGCACTTAACTAGACCAATAGACATTTAGTAAGTTTAAATATTAATTGTAGGTATCTCCCCACAATACAGAGCAACTGCACCAAAGTAGTTGTATAGACCATTTCTTTCAAATACTAAACAAGTTGTTCTGGAAAATAGAAAAAGTATAGCTACCTAATTTCTTTTGAGTAATTATGCTGACTCTAATTACAAGGAGTACAAAAGTAACAAGAACAAAACAAAAAAGAAAAAATTTGCTTATTTTATATTACATAGATTCAAAAATTTTAAATAAAAGATTATGCAGTTGATTCCAACAGTGTAATAAGTACATCATGGTCAAGTAGAGTTTATTCCAGGAATGCAAATAACGTTTAGTCTATCAATGATCCCTCATAAGTAGACCCTGAAAAATTATCATAATACTATAAGAAAGGGATTGCAGTAGTGGAAAACTGCCAGGAGAGAGGGAGCACACTTCATCAATAAGGGTACCTGATCTCAAAGCAGGTGAAGTGGGGACAAAAATGAGGCCCAAACTTTACTTGTACAATGACCATTTGCATACCTAACCCTGAATTGTACCCCACATTTTTAAAATAAAAATTTTAAAAAGTAAAAAAATAAAAAATAAATAAAGTCTATCAATGAAATTTGACACATTAATGAACTAAAGGGGGAAAACATGATTACTTCTATAAATGGTGAAAATATTTTTTCTATAGCTCACTATTTATGATTTTATAAAATGTTCAGAAAATTTTCAATGGGCAGTAGGATTGGTTCCATGTTTTTGCTATTGTGAATAGTGTGGCAATAAATGTGTGTGTAGGTGTCTATACAGAGATAGAGAACAGTCACAAAATCCCATCCATTTTCAGGGGGAGGGAACATAGACCCAACCTCACAATGGAATGAGAATTTTAAGAAATTGTAGACAAATTTTAAAATCACTACAAATGTACATAAAGTAGAGGAGAAGAATTTATAGTCTGTTTAGAATAACAGCTTTGATCAATTTAAAAATAGGCCCTTAAATTATGCAAAGTGAAACAAGCCATAGAAAGATACTGCATGATCTCACTTATAAGTGGAATCTTTTTTTAAAAAGGGTCAAATATACAGAGATAGAGAACACAAATATACAGAGAAAGATACAGGGAGGAAATGAGGAGATGTAGGTCGGAGGATACAAAATAGCAGATATGTAGGACAAACAATGCTAGAGACCTAATGTTCAGTATGTAGACTATACTTAATAAAATCGTATTGTATTAGAGATTTTGCTAAATAAGTAGATTTTAGCTGTTCTTGCCACAAAAAGGCAATCACTTGAGATGATAGACACATTTATTTGTTTCATCATAGCAGCCATTTTATTGTCTATATGTATCTCATAACATCAGTATGTAAACATCAAATATACACAATACAATTTACTTTAAAAAATAATTTTAAAAATTAAAAAAAGTTCAGAAACTAAGAATATAAGGAATTTCTTAGCATGATAAAGATTATATGTAAAAACCCCAGGGCATGCATAAAATAAATGGGGACATTTTAGATACATTGCCTTTAAACTCAAAAACAAAAGAAACATATGTTATACAAAAATATAACCTAACATGGATTGCAAACTATAGATAATACAATAAGACAGGAAAAAAATAAATAAATAAGAGATATAAGGATGGAAAATAAAGATCATCAAACTAATGGAATGTCAATACAGAATCAGTAACATTCTTCTATATCAACAAAAACCACCTGGGAAATATAAGAGAAAGAAAGAAACTACTCCCAATGTCAGTGAAATTAACAATATCTAGGAAGTAATAAAAAGTAATATTCTTTTTTTTTTTTTTTTTTTGAGTTGGAGTCTCACTGTCGCCCAGACTGGAGTGCAGTGGCCGCTCCCGGCCACCGCAGCCTTGACCTGCTGGGCTCCGGCGATCCTTCCACCTCAGCCTTCCGAGTAGCTGGAATTACAGGCATACGCTACCATGCCCGGCTGATTTTTTGATTTATTGTAGAGATGAGGTCTCGCTGCCCAGGCGGGTCTCAAACCCGCGGGCTCAGGCAATCCACTCACCTCAGCCTCCCAAAGGCGCAGGATTACAGTCTGAGCCACCGAGCCCGGCAAAAGAAATATTCTTAAGGAGAAAATTTTATAATTGTTTGAAAGAATATAAAAACTTGAAATAACAAGAAAATTTCCAAAAAGAATGGATAAGCAACATTTTAAAAAAGATGTTAGTTTTGCCTCAAATTAATCTAGAATTCAATGTAATTCAAATTACAAGTCCAGTCAGGTTTTTAGAGGACCTCAACAAACTTATCTGAAATTAAGTAACACCGTATAACACTACCCAAAACAATGCAGTATTAATATTATATTGGGCAAATTTACCAAGGCCTTAAAAATAGACTCATGTTTATATTGCAGCTTAGTATGTTATTGAGGTGGCATCACAAGCTACTTAGGGAAAGAATAAATTGTTCAACTGGGATAAGAATCAATAAGAGAGAATGGATCACTAAATGCAAGAAATAAAGTTAGGCCTTTAGGGCAAGGTCCCGAAACGGGCAGTAGGGGAGTAGCAAGTGAGGCAGAGAAGCTTTTTTATTTACAGCCCGTGGTGGCATTAGATTCTCAAAGGAACATGGACCCTATCGTGAACTCTACACGCAAAGGATCTAGGCTGTGCACTCCTTAAGAGAATCTAATGCCTGATGATCTAAGGTAGAGCTGAGGTGGTGATGCTAGTTCTGAGGAGTGACTGCAAATACAGTTTAGCATTAGATGTGAGGTTTGACTGCAAAGAGACCATAATAAATCAATTGCTTGCATACATATCAAAACCCTGTCAGTGAGTGGCAAGTCAGTTGATGTACTTCAGTTGTACAGCTGCAGCTGGTGGCAGGCTTTAAGTCAGAACTTGACACTTATTTTATCTGTGTAAGGCTGGCCCAAACGTTATCTAATTTACCACTTCTATCTGTGCCTCTTTTTTTTCTTAATGGTGAGTTGTATAATTAATTCATTGAATATTACAATGCAATAATAATAATAGAAATAAAGTGCACAATAAATGTTATGTGCTTGGATCATCCTGAAGCCATCTCCCTCCCCTCCTAGTCCATGGAAGAAAGACCACAGTTTTATGTTGCTTTATTGCAAATATAATCTTTCCAAAATACAGGCTGCACAAAACAGCTTAACTAGCCTTAAACCTAGCCTTCTACCTGCCACCAGCAGTTACAGTAATCATTGCCACAAGTATAGCACATTGCTCAAGTGTTTTTTTTGAAAAATAAAATTTTTTAATGAGATTATATTTAATATATTTTAGTAAGTGTGTTTTACATTATTATCATAATCTATATGATGGCATTGTGGGAGATAAATAGGAGATATATATGTATATATATATATTCTTTTTATATATGGTGATTCTCAGTTCTGGACTATTCCATTCCCCTACTCTTTTATATTAAATGGGAGATCATAATTTTGCATGATTTAAAGCTCTAAAATACCTTTAAAGCAACCACCTGTCTACAAGTGTTTTCTCTGTGATTCCTTTTTCCATCTTCAGTGCTCCAACTGGAGGAGAAGTGGTCCAGATGGCATTACACATGCTGGGGAGCCATGCCCTTTGGTTTCTCCCTCACTGTTCTTTAGTGTCCTTTTGCTGACTTCCCTTTTAAAGAGACTGGCATCAGCCTTGGAGCCTGAAAAACAGAGTTCTGGGCTCTATTCCATCTCTTTGCACCAAAAGTTGTCTGAGAGACAGGGACATTTTTCTCTGTTGTTTCCATGATAAATAGGATATGTATTTCAACCACAAAATGCCACAGTAGGGGGGGAAATGAAATATAATAAAAATTGCATGAAGTTGTGTGATTCCTTGGCTATTTGTTAACTGGAACAAAAAGGATAAAATGCAGGAAATGAGGGAATGTCTACCCCAGACACAGCAGCGGGTGGTAGTCGTGATTTCATATAAGCTGAATACTGGTTTCATGCCATTTTGAGCATTTTTTTCTTTAAGTTTCTTTCTCTCCTTAGGAACCCATTTTCTCTACATGTGAAACAGTGGAAGTATTGCTCATAAGGACAAAATGTTGTACATCTATGTGCTAGCTTTTCCAGAGTTGATTCTAAAAAACGCCCTAAGTACTTTTTGGAATTAAACTCTACTATTTATTTTAAAACACAAAAGAAAATGTGTATGACTTTGGTTAGTGAATATACTTTTGATTTTGTTCATACTAATGAAAAATGATCATTTGAGTTTTTACTTTTTGAAAGAAAGGGAGATGACTGTTTAGGAAATACTTTCAAATGAACCAAAATATTGTATACTGTAAGACAAATATGAATTTCAAAATGGAATTAGGCATATTAAAAATCATATTTGCATTTCACGGTATATGAGATATGTATAATTTAGAACCTGCATTCACTAACATTTTAATAAATAGAAGCATATTTTGTATACTCTAAGATGAGTTGATACTCAAAAAGACGTTTTATATAGTTAATCCTTTTACTAGTTTAGATTTATTTGCAATTTTCAACACATTAGTATGGAGACTTGGCAAATATAGCAACAACAGCAGTTAGTAATACTGATTTATGCTGGAATGGAAATTGTACTCACTTGAGTTCTATTACTGGTCTAACCACAAACTAGCCATGTAATCCTGGATACATTTACTTCTTTGGACTTGTGTCTTCATTTGTCAAATGACAATCTCCAAGTTCTTTGCAGTGCCAATATTAAATAGTTCTAGGAATTGGCTAAGTACTTCTGCTTTAGTATTCAATGGAGAGAAGTTGTCTTGACAGTGTCTCTCTGTTTGTATGAGACTTTCCAGGCAAAGGGAGTAGAGTAAGGCAGGGAAGATGAACCAATCACATAATCATAGTGTCAGTGGGTGTAATGTCTACTGACTTCTGCCCTCACTCTTGTCTGAGCCTTTATGAAGCAGATTGAAACACTGTGCATGGTGCCCCTGATGTACCAGTAGTAATAGTGAAAGGTGCTGAAGTGTATTTTCTCGTTTCCTCTCCACTTGTCTCCAACACACACACACACACACACACACACACACACACACACACACACGTGTGTGTGTGTGTGCAAGAGCACTCATAGGCATAAACACACATGCACACACAATGGCACACCTCAACCTTTGTCTGTATTCTCTGCTGCTAGACTCTAGGAGGCAAGTTTCTGCTCTTGGTTGGGATCTGATCAGAATGTGGATGCTGTTGTTCTACAACCAGAACATGGCTGCCACCACCATCACAGGGTTTTCCTGGTTCGATGATCCAAGTCCTCAATCTTATTGGCTTCAGTTGTGGTTTTCAAAAGTGGTTGAGAGACCAGGGCTGGCTGCCCAAAAAGATTTTGCTGATCCACAGAGAAATTGGAAAAATTTAAACAAAACTAAAATTGTACAATGTAAAGAATTGAATGTTTTTCTTAGATTATATCATCGAAAACACTTGTATATAAAACTAGTTCCTTCTTTTATGATTGTAGGGTTATTCCCCTTCACCTTCTACCCTTTTCTTGCATTCCTAATCACACTCTTGCATTAGTCTCTCTCCATAAAAAACAAAAGCAAACAAACAACAGCAAAAACAAAACAAAACAAGCAAAACAAACAAGCAAACAAGAACTCTGGAAGTGAAATCTAGAAGTTTAGGAATCTTTTGCTCCTCTAGTAGCAGGCATTTTCTTCATAGAATTATTTCAAAGCAGTCAATATTCAAATATCGGTATTGTGAAAAATAATAGTCTTGTTCATTGTCCTTAGCATCTCATGGAACAACAGTTCCGTGACAGGTTGAAAAAAACTGCCCCATGCTTTTGATGGAGGCGCTGAATTCAGAATTCAAGACTGCTTTTTGCAAATATACCACCTTGTTTTTTGATGTAGCTATTTCTTTAGGTGGTGGTTTTGGAACTTAAAGTAGCCATGTATTTAACAAAGGATCCGTTCTTCTCTAAGGTCGTGTGAAGTTAAACCCAGATAAGGTGAATGTCTTTTGAATTAAATGGATTGAGAGCTCTAGGCTAGAACATTAATGATCTCTTGCACATGCACACACACTCACACACACACACAGAGCCTCCAGCCTGAGGGAATTAATGAAGCCCTCACGTGAGAGTGAGTCATGTATCCTTTACTCCTGCAGTCTGATGAAAACCCTTGTTGCTTAGCAGCCGGGATCCTCTTTGAGCAGTACAGTACAAGGTCACTCAGTAAAGTTTCATTATTCTTAGTGAAGGAAGTCTGCACTACAGATGACTGATGCAGGCAGATTTCTATAAATAGCAGTTGTTTTTCAGAATGATAAAACGAAAGGAAAATGGCTCAACAAAGACTAATGAAAAATAATAACATTACTGGAATACATTCAGAGTGAGTTCAGAATTTTATGAGATGATTTTTCATAAGCTTCATCTTTCGTTGAGATTTATGGGTATAACAGTAAATAAAATTCGTATTTTTCTTAAAAACTCCCACAAATTATTAAGATTCTCAGATAATCACTGTAAAGCTTATATAAATAATAAAAATATAAGAGAAGAATACGTATTTAATAGGTGGGAGAAGCAATAAATAATACTTTTTAAAAATCATATGCATCTTTAGATCCAATTATATCATCTTAAAATTATAATGTGACTATAATTTAAAAACATGTTGAAAAATTTTAATGTAAAAAATCTAATATATTTAAAAGAGAAAACAAATAATAAAATAGTAGAGAAAATATCATAAAGATATGAATCTTCTCAAAGTAATTTATAGTTCTAGTGTAATTCCAATCAAAATAGTGTCATATTATGACAGAGTTTCTAAAATTAACCTGGAAGAATAAACTGAAAATAGTAACCAAGATAATTTTGTAAAAAAGGAATGAGTGACAACTTCCTGTACTTAGAATCAAAATGTTCTATAGAGCATCTGATTATCAAAAAATGTGCTATTAGTGTTGTGAAAAACAAATCTAGAACTGTGTTCTGACGTAAATGATTTAACATGTGAAAAAAATAGCATTGGAAGTAGTAGGGAAAAGTGGAGACTTTTTAATAAATAATAGTAGGAAAATTGGACAAAATATATGGACAAAAATGTTGAGTCTTGGCCTTGTCCTTCTCACTGAAATACATATAAGATCGACCAAAAAGTCAAATATTAAATAAGTAAACTCTGAGGTCACTCTTTATTTTCTCACCTGTTCAGTTTTCCTTCATAGCACTTCACACTATCTGACATATATTTGTTTATTTATTGACTCTTCTCTCATTCCTAGACTGTATGCTCAGAAAAAGCACAGGCTTTCTCTATCTGCCTACTGATGTATCCTCAGCATCTACAACAGTCTGACACATAGGAGGCATTTAATAAATATTTGTGAAATGAATGAATAAAAACAATGAAAGAAGACTTGCTCCCCTTTGAACTGAACATATGTAACCTTGGAGTGATTAAAAACAAAACAAACCAAACTTCAAAAAAAGAAAAAATCCAGGAAGAATCTTTGTCTACATTATTATTACTTTCAAGATCCACAGACATCAAATCCTGCTTCTTCTTTTGTTGTTGTTGTTTTTTTTAAACAGGCTTTGATCAGAGTTATTAGAGATAAGAGGTAGGGTAAATATAGCTTATTTTTACACTTTCCTAAAATCAGTATTTGGAAATTTGATTTTACTGTTAACACTCTTCACAGCATGCCATTCTATTATCCTACACCAAATTTGCAATGTCCATTTCATCCACTTTCTTCCATTAGAATGCTGCTATATTTTTCTGATGTGAACCCATCATATTATACCTACTTTCTTCTAATTTCATGTTTGACCCAATTTCTTCATCTATGCATTGAAATGCTGAGTTCTAAGCACCGACAACACAAAATACACATGTAGCTGCTTAATGGGCTTCTTTGCTTGCTGTGATAAAGCACTTTCAAAAGACCTGCAAAAGGGCTTAAAAATGTTGCAACAGAAAATATCATTCTTTCTTTGGGTCATAAACTTTGATTGATGAGGAGGAGGAAATAAAATTTGACCTACCGAGGGTGGGATCATATTCCCAGATGAACCGTTTGGTCAGAAATCTCACTACCAGGGCTGTGGAAGAAAAGAGCAACATTTTAAATGAATGTGTTAATTTGTTTAGAGTTCTTATCCTTTTAAGGAGAGAGAAATGGTGCATAAAACCTTATATGTGCTTTATATTTCTCTAGTACATAAACCCAAGGGATTTACTTATGTTTATTCAAATATGTTTCCAGTTTTATATTATGGCCTAAAAACTGTAGTAAGATTTTAATGGGTTTACTGTACATTAATCAACAGTTTAGATTTGTTCTTTTAGTCACAGAGTTAAAACAAACACATAAACAAAAAGCACCACAATGGGAAAATGCTCACATATAAAACTTACAGCAAAATGATCAGATACAAAGCTTCACATTATGGGTGTCTAAAGTTTGAATATTGATAAGTATTGACAAAAGGGAGCTAGACTGTGAGAATTTTTACTGTAATGAAAGATCAATAGCAGGCAATTTGCATTATAAAAAAGTAAGAATTCATAATTAGGGATTTTATTAGGGATTCATTAAAGTTTACCAAAAGTAACACAGGGTCAGGTTCTAGAACTGTACTAAGCACTTTGCTTGTGTGACCTCCTTGATCCTCACTTCATCCCTGTGAGATAGCTACTATGACTGTTCCCATTTTTCATATGAGGAAACAGAGGTTCTAAGAGATTAACTAATTTAACTGAGCTCATCTAGCTAGTCAATGGCCTAGTAAGGATTTGAATCCAAAAAGTCTGTAACTTATCCAATGTATCCATTGTACCAAACTAAGTTTAAATCCCAGGCCATCTGGGTAATATTTAATTGGAAGATGGGTTGGAGAAAGAGAAGTATTGAAATACGTGGACTCTGTTGTCCTTAAAAATTGATAGGACATGTGCTGAACACTTTCTGACATGTGTGTAATAGTTGCAAACGGTGGTTTTTAAAACTTTTTTTGTACTTAATGATGGATGGACTTTCTTGTCATAAGTAGAAAACTTCATAGCTTTCATAAGCCATGTAGTTCACATACCATAATGAGATAAATAGTAGGATGATGAGGTTAATATAGGTTAATTAATATAGGTCAGGCCTGCTATAGTTTGTTTTCTTTAATCCAGAAATAGCATTAAGATAATTGAATTTGTGCTATAGTACTTATTTTTTACTTCAGGTTTATTAAAACAAATAAAACCTTGCAAATACAGTTAAAGACTTTTTTGACAACAAAAGGGGAGCTTTCTTTTCTGAACGCAATCTGCAGATTGGGAAGGCATAGCCTTCACAACAAGTGAAAGTGTGCTCAAAGAAGACTATAAACGTAATTAAATACATCAACAGATGTAACAACAAAACCCACAGATTATATCATTAGACGTGGAAAAAGTTTTCGATAAAATCCAGCACCCCTTCTTGATAAAAATCCTTGAATATCTAGGCATAGATGGAACATAACTCAAAATAGTAAGAGCCATCTACGAGAAACCCACAGCCAACATATTGCTAAACAGACAGAAATTGGAATCATTTCCCCTGAAGACCAGAACAAGACAAGGCTGCCCACTCTCACCCCTTCTGTTCAACATAGTTTTGGAAATCCTAGCTAGAGCAATCAGACAAGAGAATCTTTTTAGTAAGAAACTTGAGGGGGTGTTACAGACACTTTAAAATAAAAGCAGTGGATCATTTTCCTGGGGGAAAAAAGTGCATACACACATTGTGGCATATAATTTCAGCAGACTCACAAGCCCTTTGAAGACCCTCGATGGTCTCAGTGGGATCCCACTGACCTCAACGAAAGCATCATTTTTAATTGTATTTTATCATATGTTATATATCAGTGTATTTTTATTTTTACTAAAATGCTCCGAATGCAGTAGCCAAAAGATACTCCTTGAAAAAATAAAACTAGTTAGTTGAAGGTCACTGTCAGTCTTTGTCTACTGTCACTTTTAGGATCAATAGGGGTATATACCTCCTACCATAAATCTTATATGAGAGATCACAGTGCAAACCGCACTGAGGACTTTGCAAAACGAAGTGCAACGTGGCTTCACGACTGGTGGCTAGAGACTGAAAGTAGCAATGTTCTTTCTAATTACAGAGTGTGAGGCTGAATTCGAGCCAAAATATTTTCAATGCCTAAAGTAGCAAGGCCATTGACCCTGTAATACTTCCCACAGTGAGCGTGCTTGTGGTTTTATCTACAATCTTAAGTCTGTCACTGTTCACTCTCTTGAGAATGAGACTTTGCTTTTTGCATGTAGGAAGTAGTAAGCACAAGACAGATACTTTTTTCTTTTTAAAAATCAACAGTGTTAGTAAATATAACTGCTAGCAGGATTTTAAAAGTTTTGTCTTTTGTTAGAATGTGTTTTTAACTCTAAAGGCCACAACCTGGAAAAATTAATTATTTACCATCCTCAAGGAATGAGTCATTAAAATTAACTAATTTTTTTACATAACTGAGATTTGAAGTTCTCCAATTCCAAAACCATTTTAACTTTAATCATTTCTCAGAATCTTTTAAAAATGTATTAGATATTCCATTGCCTTTCAAAACCAAGTATACTGAACATAATTGCATCATTTTAAATGCCTGGATCTTGGTTAAGAAATTTGATTAAGTGGCCTGTGCAGTTACACAGTGATATTTTTTAAAGCTGTAGAGTGGATGATACAAAACAATTCTAGAATGCTAGAATTTTGAATATATGTATATATTCAACACAATAACTTATATATACACACATTATACATTCTATACATTATAAATTTTCATAATGTGTATAAATTTTATACACATTACAAATTATAAACATGTATATATATACATATGTACACATATAATTTTCATTCTCCTTCACATTCCATAACTGCCTCCTTTTGCGGTGGTCACTAAAACTTCCTTTAATAACCCACCTGTACCTCTACTTTGTTACATTAATTATGCCATTATGCCAAACCATGCTGACAGTAAAGGACAGTTTACAAGGAGCACAGGGAATATTTGTTCTACTATCTTACCGCAGCAGAAGGTAGGCAATTGGAAAAAAATTTGAACCAAGTACATATTCAATGTAAATCACAAATTCTCCAGTTTTACTCTTTTCTCATGTCATATGGAAGGTCACCTAGAATAATTATTGTCTTAACATGTATATCTATAATTTCCCTACTAAACTATTTTCTGAGATATAATCAAGATGATCTCTGTTTGAGACAATTCAACTAAACTCTAAATTAATATCTTGTGTGTATTCTATAGATTTTTATACTAACACACATAAAAGATTGGCTTTCATGAAAAAAATATGCCTACAAACTTGTTAGAATTTTGTTTCACATAGGAGTAAATTACCTCTGGGGTGAAGTCCTAAGGAACTCTTTATATAATACAAATGTCATTCTGGTGCATCTTTGAGACATATTTGTTGTTGACAAGTTGTTCCTGCTGAGTTCTGGGTTGCTGGAGTTGGCCTTTTTAGAGGGCCAACCACATAAAATAATCTCCTTCCAGTAAGTGACTTAATCCATGTAATCAATCCAAACATTCTGATGCTCTTTATTAAGAAGCACACATCAGCAGTTATTTTCACAATAGAATCACACATTTAGAGAAAAATTAATTTATTTTAAATCTTTGAAAAAATCAAAAAACACTTTGAAAAATTGACATGTAGATATGCATTCTTAAAAGATGTGTTTTCATGTGTCTCATAGATTATTCATGGAAAAGACAAATGCATCTTGCATATTTTTAAGTTTCCAATAAAATTTTAATTTATCATCACTAGTCTAAATAATGTAAGTAATGGTTTTACGTTTGTGGAAGTGTTATCTCTTAAAGATTCTATTACCATTAAAACATGTCTGAGTGTGTTTAGCTGACATTTGTCATTTACTGATGTAATTATCAAACTTGTTATTTAGCTATAAATTTTATTACAACTTTATTATGAAATATTATTTTTTAATGTGGCATATTCCACCACTTAGTACATGGTTTCACCTGTGAACACAATAATTGCTTCCACACTTGTGGACTTGCTTCTACTGCACCTCCACAATACCCTTAGACCACTCTCTACACAGCACTCAATGATTCCTTTAAAACATAAACCATCCCACGTCACATCTTTGCCCCACATTCCCCCTGAACTTATTTCATTGACCAAAAATTTATTAGACAGTGTTTAGTCTGTGCCAGATTCTGCCCTAGGTGTCCAGAATAATCCAGTGAACAATTCAAAGATCCCTAGCCTTGTGGAGCTTATCTTCTATAAGAAGGAGATAGATTAAAGCTGAAAATAATAATTTATATAGTATGTTAGAGGTAATAAGTACCATGCAACAAAAGAAACAGAAAGGGTTAAGGGGGATTCAGCATTGAGAGATAAATGCGTAAGAGTCGTTATTCAAGACAGGGTGATCATGGTAATCCTCTTTGAGGAGCTGGCATTTGTAATAAATAAAGGAAGATGTCTGGGGGAATGGTATTCCAGGAACAGCCAGTGTAAAGTCCTTGAGGCAGAAATGCTTGCTTGGTATGCTCAAAGAATATTACTCAGGCCAGTGTGGCTAATGCAGAATGAACAATGATGAGAGCAATTGGAGATGAGATCATTTCCTGCCATTGTCCCAGTCATGCACTCCTCAAATACACCACTCCACTATTATTATACTACAACTACTGTTACTACTAATACTACCATCACTACTACTAACACTACTACTAGTAAAAACAACTGAAACGCTTATATGTTTCTTTATCATTATTACTATTATATATCATTATTACTATTATTACTATTATTTTGTTTGACTCCTTCTTTAGAATGCACAGTCCATGAGGGCATGGAATTTGTTTCATTCATCAGCTTTCTAGTGTCTAGAACAGTGTCTGGCACATGGTAGACTAAACAAGACTTGTTGAATAAGTGAAAAAGATGTATCATTCTACGTCATAGTTTGCTTTAACAGTTAAATCATCACCAGGCACAGAGAAAATAAGCAGAAAAATCAACCCAAGAGAACTCACAA